GTAACCAATAACTCTCAAGGCTGCTATAAAAGCATATGCCAATTGACGATATGCATGTACGAATTGAATTTGCATAAAATAATAAATATTGTAATGGTTACATTGTCTCTGGCATTATTTTATAGTTGATCTGCTAAGTTACCTATTGTATTGGCGCCATTACTTAGCTGAGTTTGTGTGTTTGTTTATTAAGTTGTTGATTAAGTCTTGACATCGATACGCTTAAGTATACTCATGTTGATCCGTACACTGTTTTGTTCGGAGAGCTTAGATTTTTAATATAACCAACAGAAATTATTCCATTTAATTTTTTACCTCTGATATTTCTTAATTATTATTTCTACCTATCCAATCAAGTAATAAAAGTGGTAATGAATTTAATATGTACTAGAGTCCCTGTTGCTCGAATTCGAGCAATTGCTAAGTATTACAGGCGTTATTTTAAAACGAATAACAGTCTCTGATGACTTTAAAAGTTTCTACTCAAAGATTATGGAAATACTCAAGATGTACATAAAAGATCGATATAGGCTAATCAAATTTCTTGTAATTATCTTATCATTTTTAAAATGCTGGTCTTGTTTTTTAGTGTTTTTTTGCAAATAGCCTTACTCATAGCCACATTAGGTTGTCCATAATAACGATTACCTATAGATTCTAAAAAAAAAAACAACATTGTTTCTATTTCTTCTCCTTGGTGGTGTTCTGTGACTTTCCTATGTTTCCATAGTTTGCAAATCGGCTCTTTCAATGATTACTAAGAAATGCAGCACAGTGTTAATTTGGTTTTCTTTTTAGTACGATATATAAATTTATCCAGGCTCTCTCGTTTTTTCCATTGTAATATTTACGCCAACCCAAATTCAAATAGTAAATATTTTATTTCAACAAAGTCAGTTAATTTTTGTTGCAAACTGTTAAATTAGCAAACTCATTGACTGTTTACAATTAACATATGTTCTTCTTACTTTTAATTTCTGACAACATATGGGGTTTCATAACAGTTTTTGTTTCCCATGTAAATCTTATGAAGAAATACGAAACTTTAAAGGGCCCCAGGGCCTCACTCTCTAATTATTTCCCTAAAAAGAAAGTTTCCTGCACAACTTCATGTTACGCTCTTTCCAATGACACCAAAAACATGTCAATCGGTTCTGTCGTTTCGGAGGAGTAATTGTCACAAAAAACCTGCTTGCGTATTAAATAAGTAATATATAGATAATTGTATTTCCATCAGGATGTAACGACATTTTGCCAACTCCTGATATCGGAATATCATTTGAATGATTGTTTTGTTTATTTTTTTTATATATATGTATGTGTATATGAGCGTGTTTGCAGTTTTCCAAACTGTTTATTCTTAAGCTGCCCAAATAGTTAACTTAAATTCGTACTTTTTAAATATACAAACTTACATTAACAACTTAAGTGTGTTTCCTAGCAAGATACTAGGATTATGTGGCCTTATACTGCAGTGATTTTACACATAACTATCATTGTGGTTTAATTGTAATCACTCTTTCTAGATTATTGTCAAAATCTTGTCCTAATATGTTCCTGCTGACTATAACCTTGCTTATATCAAATGATCCAGGCTGAAGAAACATTTAACAACAGAACTTGTATCAACGGTACAAAAATGATCTCCTTCTACTCTCACTAACAGCTAATTTATATTCGGATTGTTCTTGTATTCTAGAGATATTATTATAATCATACATCGTTTTTGAGCTGGATGTTGTGTCCGTGCTTTGCAACGGGAAGAGGACGTGGAAAAAAGGCCTATCATGTTGAAAACTCAGGGACAAAGCATAAGTTAATACAGAAATGGTTGAGGAGTCTTACTTGTATAATCAATGACACAATTTAAAACAAATAAAACAAACCATACCACAGTTGTGCAAAATATTATATTTAATTTGTTTTTATTAGGTGTTTGAAATTGTAAAATAAGCAATTGACGGTTCTGCGTGTTAAACTCTCAACGAAAATTAACCTTGTGAGTCTTCCATTCTGCCATGAAGACCAACGAATAGAGTATTAACTTCTAAAAACTCCCTCTTTAAATATATTTGGACGTACACAAAGTGCTCGAGGAAAACTCAGGGAAGTAAATAGGCCTATGACGTTCCTAAACATATGGACTATCTTTAATTTAGGCAATGTTGATATAATATTTTTTAAATACGTTACAGCCGCCCAGCCAGAGATATAGACTGACACCACCTCATTTCCATAATAGTATACATAAAACTTACAATAAAACTGCTTACACTCACTTCTTTCGTCTACATTTTGCATCGGTCAAAGTTTTAATATAAAATATATTTAACTAAATCGTACAAAATAATACATATATTTCTTAGTATGTAGGTTTCTTAAAAAAAACGTTAAACACTACTAAAAGCCAATTACCACAATTTCACTGTATTTTACCGTTAAATCATTGTAAAACGTATAATGCTTTAGCTCCTGGGTACAGTGCAAGTAGGATGTTGAGACCGCGACTGATAACATCGATGCTGACCCCTCTGGAATCTTGATTGACGCCATTAGATCACATGAACTGCATTCTACATCGACACCAAGATTTGCTTCAGATAAACACATTTCTCAAATGCCACAACCTCTTGCAATGCATTCAAACTAAATTACTGAAATAGTCCATACCTTGAAGTAGTCCTATGGCAGTTTTCAAGGAGTTGAATTTCCCATTTTAAACTTAGTTTAACATTTAAAAAGTCATTTTCGTAATTTTTTTCGCACCGTATGGGATGCAGTTTTTTTAAACGTTTGTTTGGTTTATGTTGTAGTATTACGATAAGGTTGAGATTTTTAATCTGTAATATGGAGCTAATCAAAATGCAAGCAAATTTAATTCACTACCAACTGAAACTAATTTCCACCACTTCTCTCGTCTAGTGTTTAATTAACACTTAACTTTCTTAAAATAAACTGTATCAAACTTGTCTCCTGTTGAAAGGAAAAGTATGCTATGACACTATAATATGCCAATATCAACACATCCACCATCACAACTATAGCCTAAATAATTTCAGTAGGTTAAGCATCCATACAAACATGATCATGTAATAAATGTTTTTCAATCTAAAGACATTATGCTCTGCTGGGCAATGACATGATAAACTAACTATCACCTTGCATTCATCTTGTGAATGCTACATTCAATTTAGGAAATTTAATGCGTGTTGCTCGTAATATTTATTCATTCCATTGATACACCTGGTTGATCCATTATTTGATTAAGCTTAGATTCATTGCAGGCAACCTTGTCACCAGCAGATAATAAAAGACTGGAGCTGATTTAGACTCAGTTCCTAAGGGGTGTGTTTGATGATCAACACATCAATGTGATATTCTATTATTTTTACATTATATTCAATAAGGACTTTATTTCACAGAATCACATAAAAGCTTGTCCTGTAGCAGGTAAATTAGTCTTTTCGTCAGTTGCATCAACCACATCTACTTTTTATCTGTTTAAGCGTAATTTGCAGACTGTCATCTAATCTACTCTAGAATACGATCGTCTATCGTAGCAATTATGTTGTTAAAATGCTAAAAACGTGTTTTTAAGATGCCATAATTGGGGTTTTTTTAGAATGATGCGTGTCGTTTCAGTAAACTTAACAAAAACCTTATTGAGTAAACAAGTATGCTGTGACCATTATGGACTGCAGTAGCGTCTCACGAATATTTGTGTATAAAGGATTACTTTTAACAATTATCATTTGATGGGATCACTAATTGATTCACTGTCATGTGCCTGTTAAAGTTAAAAAATAATAATCCTAACTTAGAGCACTTAATCATAAAAATACATTCAAAACATCGATTCATTTCAACTTCAATGTATTTACTATTTATAATACAGGGGGATTCCAATTTATGTTGACACTTTTGAAACTCAATAAATGAAAAATTATAAAACCTATCATGACAGGGTGAAAATAAATTAAAGGAGGAGATTCTTAAGTTTTGATTGACACCACTTTGGCAAACACAGTTGCAAAATTAGCCTCTACAGACATTTTTAGATTTTAACTAAGATTTTAAATTATTTACATACTTCTACCTCTCTAAATCTCAAAACTTCATACTGCATGTTGAATTGTCAAACGTTTTGATTTTACCAATAAGGGTCAATTAGTTCTATAATTACTGCACAGTCATTGTTGTTCGCCATTATAGTAAGCTGCGAGGAACATGCCTTCGAAAGATCAAAAAGGGTTCTGTTTTATAGAGTTTCATCGATTTTAAATTGTGTGATTAATTACACCAAACTACATGTAACATTGTGTGGTGTCGTCTGCCATTACTTTACTCATTCATAAATCGTAATTGATCAATAGTTATACAACTTCTTGATCCTAGAAACGTCAATCACACAAACCTGTTACAAACAGTGTGTTAAGGCTTGACACGAGAAGGTGGCCTTAACTCTGTAGTGCAGACTGTCGGAAGAGTTTGTACTTGTACATTATGGTCAAGCCACGTCGTTATTCACCGCCTCCATGATTTAATGTAAGTTCTGTTTCAAGCGCAGCTTAAGCTTGGTATGAGATCTGTTCTACTCTGAAGGCCGATGTAAGCCAGTTGCTGTAAACGTAATTTTATAGCACACCAGTTTTATTAGGTCGTACATTATTAGTTGACTTATGTTTAAACTTATTTGGTATTGCGATGCGTTTTTAGACTGTAACAGTACAACAGTATGATGAACTGATAGAGACACAGCTGTTTTGATGGTTGGGGGTTCGAGGCTCACCAAATGCTGAAGGTTCTCTTATCTGGACTTTCAGACAAGGGAAAATGTTGATTAATCCACAACTTAAAGAAATGATACGAAGTTCTTAAACATTACCTGTTTAATCTGCTAGGGCGTACACCTCCATAAATAAGTAAAGTCAAAAAGTCTAATTAATTTGCATACAAGGAATCCCGTGCAAGTTAAATAATGGAAGGTTTAGGCAATGCGATACAGTTCAAACAAAAATTTAATAAATAACAAAATAATTACAACATAAAATAAATTAAAAAGAATGTTTACAGGAAAATAAATAACATTTGTACTGATAACAGTCCCCAACATGGAGTACACTGCTGGCTTTGTTTAAAGCGATACCACAAATCCAGTTAAATCGAATATTGCGACAAAGTCATTAAACCTTAAGATGGCTACCAACCTTCGACTCATTTAAGATATTTAAAGTGGAAATATAAGATCAGTGCGTGTAGTGAAAAGCAGTTTAGTATTAAAAAATAAGCCTCAGTAAAATTATAGCTTTAAGTAGTGTTTTATAAGGTACGAAACATAGGCGTATAGTCTAGGAAAACGAAATAATCTTTGGTATACTAGCAATACAATAATAACTATGCCTACCTAAAAATGAGCATTTGGATTCGATATGTGTTTTTAACAATTACTTGAAAAATAAATAATTTCCTAAAAAAATGTAAATTACTTTGTATGTCTTTATGTTATTTTACTTACACCTGTTACTGTTGATATTCTTTGATATAACTAGCCGTTTTGAACTTAACCAAATAACAATAATTTTGTAAGAGGACTAAATAGGCAATGGTTACATTCAAAGACGAAACAATGCGACGAAAGATAAAGGGAGTACACTTATAAAATATAGAAAAGATTTAAAGTTCGTTATAGCAGAGATAGCTGTCATTTTACCAAAGTGTTTAGGGTGGACCTTATTTAAAGAACTGTATAAGTAAAATAGTGTTTAAACAGTTAAGTCTGAAGAAGTTATGAGTTTGTAAGATAAGTTGCGTGATGTCAAGTTTCACAATTCTATGTCTTTATGATAGATCTATACCATGAAACTACTTATTATAAGAAAAGTTTGATTAGTTCAAAAAGTATTTTCTGTTTGTAAATTCGTTGCTATATCACAAGTAGTCCGTTTTTAGAATTGTAGTATAGTGTAGTATCGTAAAACCCGTAGTTGGTGAAGAAATATATACACGACCTCGTATTTTACAGAAAAAGGTATCTTAGTCCTGCTTGAGGTAGGCGCTGTAGGCCAACTCATGGGCTAATTCGTTGCCTAAGCCAAAGGACCTCCTATCCCAGCCCCCACCGTGGCCGCTGCTGTGCTCGTGGTGGTGTTCCTCCATCTTGCTGTTCAGAAGCTTCTTCAGTGTGATGATGAGGGTCAAAATGAGAGCGATCTTGCTGATGATGAATGCCTTTCCAGCTAACAGGAACAGACCGATGAGAGCGATTGGAATCAGCATCATCTTCTTCATCATCACCATCATCATCATCATGCTCATCATCTTCTTCATTTTACCACGACCTGGGGACAAAGAACGGCTGAGTCATGTGAGGATTTGATCAATTCAGACACTTACGGAGGATCTGTAATAGAAAGCATGTCGTTGAAATTGAAACTGTGTGGGGTATTATAAATATTGTTAATTCCTGAATGGTTTCATCATCATAATGAGTACATTAAAAGTGCCTTATCTACTACTTATTTCATTTTTACTATAACCAAAGTTGATAATATTTCATAAATTGCAATAACCGTGCGAAGATATTGAGTTTAACCTAAATTAATGAGAACAGCATATCATTTCATAGGTAATCTCTATATAACTAGGTTGGGCCTCAGCACTACTACTAAAGTACTCTCAATAGTTTGATCATGAAACCATCCCAGCGGTGGCGCTAAGCCATGTTGTTCGCTGACACGAGGGAACGGTACCTGTACGACCGGACGACGATGGCGAGTTAGTAGGCACATTGTGGGCTATACTTAACCCTGTTTCCTGTAACAAACATGTCCTTAAACCACCATTAGCGACGGTTGGAGTAAAACCGGGTTACGTTGCCGGGCCTTCTTTGACCGTGAAATGAGGATTCCTTGGCGACTTTCACTGGTGGTGGCAGGTGACTTACCTGCTGGTCATCTAGTCATCCTGGCAATGACAAGTCATCTGCCATGTGTCCTGACTTGTACAGTACTGTCCACACTGGACCTCAATATGGAGAAAGCCTTGTATGATTAAGACATTCCAACTATGATTATTGAATTTAGGATAGATTCCAGATTTGAAAAGATCTTTTGATTTTAATTATTTATGCCTTATGACTTTTATTTTCTCATATTTTAAAATTGTTATAGTACACTGCTCATTATGTTTGAGTCAAGGACATAAAAATTTAAATGTAGCTTGAGTATGGTTGAATAAATATTAGAGAACGTTCTTACTTCCAATATCACTTTTTAAACATCAAATAATTGGTTTCAGGTGCATTTAATTTATACTGTAAGTCTAATGCATTAAAAATAATTTACCCATGGGTTATGGACGTTTTTTATATAAGTTCAAGCAATCGGATGATAGATGTTAAAACGTATAGGATTAAATAAAATGTAATATTCAAATATAAAACGATCAATTTAGCGTAGATACACTTATTGTGTACACACATTGCATTTTTGATATGCATAAACCTTTTGCTGCAGTAAGATTCAGGTGCTTTAGGATTCAGTTTTTGCACATAAAACAATGTCAAAATAAAAAAAATAGCATTTCCAATTGTTATGGTCTGATTGTTGTTGTTTATTGAAAGTCGAAACAAAACCTCGTTAATCCGTTCACCTATAAATAATAAATTACTTCAGACACAAATGTGAATTAACATAGTTCATTCACGTCATTTTCATGAATGAGTACGTCTGAGACGCGGCTACGTTTCTCATCTCACCACTTAACTCGGGGTCAGGGTCGGTCAACGAGTGAGACTGACTACTGTGTGTGATGTAATGTCAGTGAAGTGTCGATGTCAGAGAATGGATGAGTCGGTGAAGGTTACTAATACAGAGATGTCCCGGTGGTCACGGCCAGGGAATGGCATCTAGTGTGACAACTAACTTGGAAGACTTTAACGCTCGGTTAGGACTGATGTCTCTGACCATTCCCAATGGGTGCGTATGTTTGTATATTTTAATATATTGAAGCAGTATAAGAGAAACAATGTCAATATTATTAATATAGAGAAATACAGTAACATCGGATCAAGCTTAGCCAATAACAATACATTTAATGTTAGCAAAACATTGATTTTATATATTTTTCCTAAATACACAATTATTTTAAATCTTGTTTTCATAAAGATAGCCATTTACTTTATTCATAAAATAAAAATATTTATTGAATTTACTTTACGTTGCACAGCGTAGAAAACGTGATAGTCTGAATTTAACCTGTACAGTATAATATCAAGTTTTTTTACCGTAAGTGATTTGAAAAGTACAAAAGAAATTCTTTGGGATCATTTACGGATATTTTCATTGGGAAAAGAGTAGGCAGTATAAAAACCGTACTTTCAATTCAGTTTTTCATTGAGGCACAAACTTCCACGCTAAGTACAAAACACTACGTTGTCCACTCACTGCATGACATTATACCTGAACTGACCCCGCCTGTCGTATACTATAGTGATAAACACGACACCTTAGGCCACAATACAGACGTTTACATCAATTTAAAACCAATAATCCTCAAGGTACGCTGCCATTTGCCTGTTCCCTACATTCCACGATGATAACCTTGCCTAGGCCTACACGCTACATGTTATCCAATACCTAGGTGTGGACGTTGTTTAATCTGAGATAGTAAAGTTATATTTACGTCGCTTTTAACCTTAGTGAGCCCCATTCAAGTAAGACTAAATTATGTTGGACTAGAGTTCATTCGTGATTACGCAATTAGGATGTTGGCGTGTCATTAATAGTTTGCAAAGCACGAAATGGTTATAATATTTTGTCATGGTAAGATTGAAGGCCACTTCTAATGATTATAAACTGAAAGTTCAATGAATAGTAATCAACTCATTGTTGCTCAAGGACTGAGGACTATGTGTTTGAAGTTCAAGGCCCCAATAGTACAATTTCATTGATGTATTACTAAGGTGTGGGTATATACTACAATTTATCTAAGTAATGCAGGTGCGTTTACTTTAAACTGATTGACTTGGAGTTTATTAGATTCAGAAAAACATTATTTCAGTAAAACCTTGGTTGAAAATGAACTAGAGTTGACTATCGATAAGTTCAATATCTAAGTTTAGGAAATAGTAACTACCATTATAAAGAAGAATACTATTATATTTTTAAAATTGGTTTTATCTGACAAGTAGTTCATAACGATTACGTTTGTAGGTATTATTTAGGCTTTTGCAAAAGTTCACCGTAAATAATGGGTTATATATATTTCCCATTTTTAATTATTTACATCAACCAGTTAGGATCATAATCACTTAATCAGCATCAAACCCAGAGTGTTTAGACGAAATTTACACTACAATCAATTTTTAAAAAATTTTAAAATTATTTTTAAGATCGATGCCCGTAAGGTTTCATAAACTAAAAATAGGACTTGCTATAAGTATTCAAAAAAATCGGTTTTCTGCATTTTGACCATATTTTTTTCTCAGACTTTTACTTTCTTGTGAAAGTCCTAAGACTTTTCATGTGATTAGACAAACGTTGCTGAGGTTAAACACGTTCAGGTATTTCATTGGTTAGAAACAATACCTAAATTACGAGTCATTTTCAAAATTGCCTATAACAATATTATATGTAAACGGTTAAAGCGTTTTCTACAAACAACCATTTATTTGAATTTTTAACGCCATCGATTTTATATTAGTGCACTACAAAAATATTTGAACACTCAAACACTAAGTGAGAATAGTTACTCATTACTGTGTTACTTCAAAGAGTTAATAACACCCAGAGTAGGCAATCTGCAAGTAATTGTATGTAAACATTGCCACTGGATACTATCTAACGTATTGGCTAATCAATGTTATTAGCAACTTCGTCGGCGTTTTTAATTAATCACAATGTATTTTCCGTAACCCGCCTACATGCCGGGACCTTGTTTACATCGCGTTATCGCGTCATCAGCGTGGACGTGTCGGAACGTGTTGTACCACGCCCTGCTGTGTGACAGACGTGACCCAGGAGGCTAATAATGATGTGATAACAACTGACCTTGCTGGAGCATTAGGGCATTTAATGTATATCAGTAAATGTCTTCCGTAGATTATATTGTCAATCAAGTATAGGTTAGACTGAGGACACCCTGGCAGGGCGAGCTATCGGGCCCTAGGTCACATGCGACCTGACCTGAAGAACGATGTGACAAACAATCCCAGGCTGTGTTCAACGGAGTTAATGGTAGTTTAGTGATTAGACTTATCAATTCAGGGGTCTCAACTGCAGACTAACTAACTATGTGCGTAACAGAATTTCCCTCACATGACGTGCCAGAACTGTAACCTATTTATTGTGATTTGTACCCATTCATGTACCTATTAATGCCAATATTTTTTTCCGAAAGAAAGGTACCGTTCCGCCGCGTTCCCCGCAAATTGAGCACTGAATATTATTCTATTGAACTACTGTATCGCTATCGTTATGAGGTGGTATACTGTATATTATGCCCTCATTTAGATGCACTTAAGACAACTCGTTATAATAACATAAAGGATAACCAAACTGCGGAAATCGTATAATAAATCAGCGGAAATCCTTCATAGTCAGGTATCGCATGTAGGATATGGTAGTCTGGAGTGGATACCATTTAAGGAAACCATAAACAAAGGAAAGTGAAGAGATTCGGTTTCCTGCCGAGAGATTAAACTTGCTGGGATTATGACTAGCTAATATCTTTGCAGGAATAAATGTGTACAGTATAGAGCTTTTCAAGTTTTCAGTAATGAAAATTCTTTTAATCTTTACGTTTATAATATGTTAGTTAGTTGTGGTAGGAGGGGAGTATGTGAATGAACCTAACCACCTGTCAGTATTCAATTGATCATAATTTAAAACACATGTTACCAATTATTGTTAACTTATTATTTACCTTTTCTTTCGTTTGATGTTGAACTTTTTTTCTATACAATAAATCTTCTAAAATGTAATTATATTATTTAATTAATGTAGAATACCACTAATCACATTAAACCATGAGCTAGACAAACAGTGGTTCGTTTATAAAATTAAATCAAAGTTATATTCCTTATATTTCGTGTTTTCTTTTTATTAAAACCATACAATTAGATGTATTAGTTTGTTGGAGGCAGTGCTGCGCCCTGGCAGAGAAGCAGCAAACCTTGAGGAGACAGCTAACAAAGGTGGTTCCGTCTCTCTTCGTGGTAAAACTAACGGGAAATGTATACATCACAGTTATGATTATTACAACGAGGTTTCTAATATTTTTATAACCAATTGATGAAAACAAGCAAAACACGTCTGCAAATTTTTTTTATTAAGTTTTC